CACTCCTGCCGGCCTGCGCACTGCCCCATGCGCGGCTCAGGCAAGTGTCTTTCCAGCTGGCCCGGGAGGAGTTTGACCCTCGCCTGCCAACCCTGACTCCACAGCTTGGAGCTGCTTTATCTGCTGGAAACAGCTGCTCTCCTGCAGCTGCCTTCCCCGCAGATGTGCGGCCGAGTCCTTAGATCCGCCACGTGTCTGAAATGGGAATCATTGATAGGGGCCGGCGATAAAGCCACGCACCTGCGTGTCCTAGAAGCGTGGCCTTGTGCGTGCCAGGGGAGGGGAACGTTCTTGCCTTTCCCGAGCGGGAGACGCTTTTCGGACACGGGGCTGGCCTGGGAGGAGGCTTCCGGTGAGCTGCTCTGGGTTCCGTTCTCGTACCATCCCGCCACCGGCTTCCTGGAGCAAAGGGGCCCGTCTGAGGCTCACTCGCGGGAACAGGGATGCTTGCTGTGAGCGTGGAGTAGGATTGTTCATGCCCAGCGCCTTGGGGTCAGCTGTGCCCCTCGGCACAGCCCCCAGGCTGCGGGGCAGCTCCCCAGGGGATGGAGCTGCCTCCCACCCTTCTCTGCCCTTGCAGACAAACCTGTCCCACTTGCAGTAGGTGAAGTGAGCAAAAGGAAGGTGATGGGGGGGGGGGGGGGGGCGCCGCCGCCGCCGTGTGCAGAAGAGCCCGGGAGACAGTGTCTGGACGACAGTCGTGACATTGGGTGGGGGGGTTTTCCCAGCCCTCCCCAGCTGATCCAGGGCTGGGCAAGGTGCGGCCGGGGGGCCGGATCCAGCCCACTGGCTGCATCTGATAGCTTCCTGTTTGTATCCTGCTGCCTGTGTGCCCAAATTTCCAGGCAGTGGCTCAGGTAGCAGGATCCTATTGAAATGGCTCCCGGCTCCTGGTCTCAGCGTTGCCTTCGCGGGGGCCAGGGCTGCAAGCCCTTTAAATAGCCACAGCAACCCCGGGCAGCTGCCCAGCAACACGGTAGAGACAGAGCCGAGAGGCATTTGCTGTGGTTTTAATTCAAAGCCTCTGGCCCCAAACAACTCTGTGTTTTTCAACAGATTCGTGTCTAGACTGCTGTTTTTTTTTCCGAAAGCTCCATTTTGGGAACAAGTGGCAGCCATGTTTATGCTAATGAAGCACAGGATATTTAAATTCCTGCCTCATTAACAGTTTCAACGTGCCTAATCTACATCTCTGTCGACAGAGAGGTGTAGTCTAGACACAGCCTCAGCATAGCATGATCTGAGTGAAATTGGCAGGAGGAGGTTGCATTCAGTGAGGCTGGATATTACAACTCAGGTCTGAGCGGGATTGCAAGATGCATTAGTACGGCTGGAGCAGAGGAGCAGACAGCCTCCATGGGCCCTTGGTGCCTCCTGCACTCCCATAGTGGCACGAACAGACTCCACCAGCCAGTAGAATAGAGGGAGTTTATTGCTTCTCCAGGATGCAGAACAGCACAGATGTCATCTGGTTACAGGGCAGGCCTAGGATGCCTCAGTCCCCCTTGAGATGGGGGAGACTGGGCCCCTAAATCCCAGCCCCTTGGTTAGGCTGCTTCCTCCATGATTCCAGCCAGAAACTAAAAAACTGTCTTCCAGCCCTGCCCCCCATCCAGAGGCTGGACCTCGCCCTCCTTCCTTTGTCTCCCTCCCTGGGAGCCAACTGGTCAGACAGGTTGGGAGCCCCTTGCATAATGACTCACCCCCTGTCCTTCTGGGCCGAGCTACAAACAGCCGCCAGTGGGGGTCACCCACAGCCCACTGCCCAGCACAGCAACCAGCAGGGTACCAGCACTACATCACAAGAGGCCTTTCCCTTCGCATGCCTTGAAGAGGGGCAGGGTTTTAACCCCGCCCTGTGCCGAAATGGCCGGTGAACCTGGGTTCCGTACAGCTGCTGCAGATTTCTCTTGGCGCAGATGATGAATGTCTCCCAGGGCAGAGCCTCCGCTACGGTCAGTCAGCAAGAGCTGAAGTCGGGTGATTTACTGCCGACCGTCCGGCCTTCCCTCGCTAGGCAGTATCCTTGTGCCCAGAGGGCGGGTTGCAGCCACCGAAAGAGGAAGTGCCAGGTTTGTGTGATGGTCATGGATTCTGTCCGTAACGTCACTGAGCGTTTCTGTTGGCGGGGTGGCCTCCCTGCCTGCTGGGTTCTCCCGGAAAGCAGACAGCCCAGGCATCGCATGTAGGGAGCACGCTGCCTTCCCCGGACCGTCCTCCCTTTGCCGTCATTTCTTTCCTTTAGGCCCTGACCCCAGGAGGTGCTGAGCCAGTGGGAGCGGAGGGCGCTCAGCGCCTGGCAGGGCTGATCCTGTCACTACAGGGCAGGGGCTGGCTCAGGCTTTCCTTTGTAAAGCTCCATTCGGGCCGGTAGCTCCGTGGAAATGTGTAAGCCGTTGTCTCTGGTTTGTTGTTACAAACTCTTCATTTTTAGCTCCGTTTGCCCACAGAGATCCTGCCTCCTTTACCAGTCCTCCCATCCTGCTGCCAGCCTTCCCATGGCTCAGCACGCGGGATGCTGTCCAAGTGGGGCTAGACGGATTGATCACTGCAGGGGGGATGCCTAGGCCAGGGGTGGGCAATAATTTTTGCAGGGGGGCCACTCCAAGACTTTTGGGAAGTGATCATGGGCAGTGTTCCCTGTAAGCTAAGCGTTTGGGCGGCCACACGAGAGAGACTCAGGTGCCGTCCAGCTGAATAGCAGAGCGCCCACATCAGCCAGCTTGTGTTTTACTGGTGGTGCACATCCACACATGCTTGGGTGCACATAACAAACCTTATTCTGCACGTGGAAGAGAAAAATTAGAACATTGGTCACAGGCTGCACTTTTCTATTACATTAATGGGGGGAGGGCTGGGAGGGGTCCTGACCCGGGGCAGACGATTTGGGTGCAATAGGGGGTTCTAGATGTAACCCTTGCCGGGATTCACGTACCATAGTGCACATCCACACATGCTTGGGTGCACATAACAAACCTTATTCTGCACGTGGAAGAGAAAAATTAGAACATTGGTCACAGGCTGCACTTTTCTATTACATTAATGGGGGGAGGGCTGGGAGGGGTCCTGACCCGGGGCAGACGATTTGGGTGCAATAGGGGGTTCTAGATGTAACCCTTGCCGGGATTCACGTACCATAGGTGTGGGTGTGTCCACATGAGCAGCAGGCACCTCGATCGCTGCCGACATGGGCGTTGTTTATAAACGCCACCCCTCCTCCGCCGCCTTCCTGACCCACTCCCTGCAAGAGCGGAACCGTAGTATTCTGGGATCGTGATCTCCAGCTGCCACAAGGGGGCCCATGGTACGTGGTCTGTTACCTGGGCATGCTGTACTGTGGTTATAACTAGGGATGCAACGTGTAGTCGACTACACGATTAACCGATAAGCCTGGGCTTATTGGTTAATCCTGTCGATTAAACCTCCCCTCCGCCCCACTGTCTCTGACCCAGAGGCAGCAGCAAGGAGCGGGGAGGCGGGAGCCAGTGTCCGTGGGGAGCTGGCTTTTAAGCCGGCTCCTTCGAGCATCCGCGCCTGCAGAGCCACCTTTCCGTCCCCCTGCCCTGCAGCGCTGGTGCCTGTAATAGAGAGGCAGCAGCACGGCAGGTGAGGGAAGCTGCTTTCAAGCCAGCTCTCTGTGCATGCTGGCTCTGCAGAGCCGCCTGTCCCCCCTTGCTGCCTCCCACAAAGGCAGCAGGTGCGGGGTGGAGACGGGAGGCTGCTGCGGAGCAGACTCTGTCCGCGGCGGGCCCAGGCTTGCAGCAGACAGAGGGTGCTCCGTGGGACGCTGCCTGCGGGGAGCCGGTGTGTCTCGTAACAGCGTGCTCTGGGTTGTACTCTGCAGCGTGGCTGACACGTCCCTGCCCCTAGGAGGGTACAGCCGTTTTATGCCCCTCCCTGTGCCGGGCGGCCGCTGAGATGGTTCTGTGGGTGCCCAACAACGGGCCACGTTAAAGAGCTGTGGGGGCGGGGGCTGTTGGGAAGGGTCTCCGGCATGAGCGCCCCAGCCCGGAGAAGAGGGGCTAGCAGGACTTGCTGGGGGCTGCTTGATGGGTGGGGTGAGGGGAGCTCTCAGGAGTTCACAGCCCTCCTCCCAGCGCCCCGGAAAAGCACCTGGCCGTGGCGGCCTTTGTGGCCCCTGTAATTCTGACCCAGGGTTTGGTTTGTTTCCTCGCCGCAGGAGAAGATCCTCGACCCCTTCCAGTTCGTGGGGCGAAGCTGGCTGGCTGCTGCGGCCCCAAAGGCTGCTCCTGAAAAGCTGAGCCCAGCGCGGAGACGGAAGAGTCGGAGCCGCTTTGGTTCCTCGCCGCGGAACCGCAGGTGCAAATGAATAGCGTAGGTAACGAGGCTCAGCGCGTCCCGGCTTCGAAGCACCGTGCGGGGCAGCAGAATAAACCAGTCGTCCCCCAGCCCTGGGCACGGCTGCAGTCGGAAGACAGCAGGTTTATTGGGTTAATTTTTCAGAGACAACCCGCCTCAGTTCAGGCCCCGAGGAAAATCTGATGGGACCCAGTGAGCCGCCAGGATATGAAAGTGATCGGTGCTTTGTCTGTCTTAGTACGGGCCCAAGGGACCAGATTGTTTCCTGGGGCGATGTGAGAGCAGCCAAGCCTTGACCCAGGGCCCAGCCTGTGTGAACAGGCTCATCCCGGACTGCAGCGTGGCCCTGGAGCTGGTCCCTGCCTTGGCTTGCCCATGCGGGAAGCACAGGTCCAGTCTGCTCCTCGAGCCCCTCTGTGTGCTGGGCAGCCCCTTGGCGTGGCTTTCCTCCCTCCCACAGGGGCTGGGTTGCCTCTACCCCACAGAAAGGAGGGGACTATGATCGGGCATGAGCCCATTGGGCACTCTGAGCTGGCGGGCTCCTGGCCGCTCCTTGTGGCCCAGGATGAGCTGTGTGGCTACAGATCTGGCCTTTCCAATGCAACCGCTGCCTTTACCCTGGGGGCGAGAGGCGCCGAGCAGGGGAGGGATCCTCTTTTGGTGGCGGCGGCGAGCAGGGGATGGTGAAAGCTGGCCCCAGCCACGGGGAGGAAGGGGCAACGTGCTCCGCGGCAGCGTCCAGCAGCCAGTAAATCTCATGCAGCGCGGCGGGGTGGAGGAGAGACGCAGCAGAGGCACCTGAGACAGGAAGGGGCCTGGGGCTAGTCCCACTGCTAGTCCAGGAGCAGGTCCCATCTCCCTGCTCCCCGTGGGGAGGGACCGAGCGCCCTGGCGGGGAAGCGGGTGGGAGCTGAGAGCCCTCCGTCTCTTGCGGGGGTTGCTCAGGAAGTAGGGCTGATAGAAGACTGCCCTTCCTTTCCTGGCTGCGGGGGCCTGAGGCGGGTTGGACTTACAAACGGTGTCTCCCCCGGATGCCAGCGCCTTCTAGCATCGGCCACCTATGAGAACCGTGCTACCCCCCGCGTCCTGGGAGCTTCCTGGGTCTCTTGGCCCACACGCGGCGGGTGTTTCTGCAGGTGCAGGGGGGAGGAGATTGTAACTGGGCCATGGGCGGCTGTGACCCCTCTAACACTTGGAGCGCTTTAGGGCTTGCCCGAGGGCTCCAGCACTGGCGGCGCGTGGGTGGTTGGAGGGGAACCCTGGAAAAAGCACAAGGCTCTGGTGCTACATCGCTCCTTCCGTTCCCATCCGTGGGCGGTAACGTGTCGCAGCGTCGAAGGGGGCCGCTGCTGGGATGCAGGAAACCCTCCCCCCCCCGCATTGCTCATGGCAAGCGCAGGGCAGATGGGCCCGTTAGTGTAAATGGTTTTGGGAGAGTCGGGCTTGTGGAAGAAGCCCAAGGATCCAAACCTGGCAGCTGTGTCAGTGCAGCTAGCCCCTGGGGGCGGGGGAGAGAGAGAGAGATATGCCCAGGCTGCCACCTGGCGGCCACAAAGTAACATGGCAAAGTGCTGCTGATCTCTCCCCCCGCACCCTCAGTGCACATGGAAAGGTCCCGCAAAGCCGCTGCCTGTTTTGGGGGCTGCGGGAGCCAGAAATCGCATTAACGGAGGCCTCAGCAACAAATCAATCACCTCGCTGCCAGGCAGGTAATACGCCACATGCGAAGGGCTGGGAGCGTCAAGACCTTGCTGGCTACAAGGCATGCAGCTGTCCTCCTGCCCGTGGTAATTCTGCAGAGCTGTGTGAGGAGAGAACAGCCACTGCAGCCTCGCCGTGGAGTGGTTAATGTGGGTGTAAGCCCAGGGCCACGTACAGCCCAGAGGCTGCACCGATTACAGCAGGACTCTCGACAGGAAGAATATTGTTACCAGGTACAGGGTGCTTTCTCTCCCATGATGCTTTGCAAATGCCAGACCTCGGAGCTCATTCATTCACTTGGGCCGGGGTGAAGCGCTGAACCTTGCGCAGCATGGAACAAGACCGGATGCAGCAGCCAGCGCAGGTTACACTGGAATTGGAGTGTAACACGCACAGCTCGTGTGGTTTGCTGTCCCGTGCAGTGGCACCTAGACCACAGCAACAAGAGACCTCTACAGCCTGGGCTGAGAGCCAGGTGGCTTTGCGCTCAAAGGACAGAGGCTCCAGTACTAAACTGCAGAGATCCCTGGTTCAGATCCGCCTGGTGGCGGTTACAGGCGCACGACACGGTGAGCGTGTGTGGAGCTCCTAATTCCGCTCTCAGCAGGGACCATCTAGCTGACAAGAAGATGGGAAGGCACAAGAGAGGAGGGAAATGGAGGCAAATTTCAGATGACCGGGAAAGCTCAGATTAAGTGAGCCAAGTGTGGTAAGGCATGTGCCGTAAAGAAGGGGGCCAAATCCTGAAAGGCGCTGAGCGTTGACTTCCATGGGGGTCATAAAATGCTACTAGGAGCAGGCTTTATTGGGAAGACCCCGCTAGTAAATCCTGGCAGAAAGCTGGGCAGAGGCACCTTTCATGAGTGTGAATGGCGGGGTATGGAGATCAGTGGGGTTCTACCATATATACATCACCATGGAATTGCAGCTGCCTCTTGGGTGGAGACTGGCAGCGACTGGTGCCCAGCCGTACAGTGAGAGGGAACGCTTTGGCCCAAGACAGTGGGCGAGCTCCTTACTTGGAAAGGGCCCTTACAATCTCCAAGGTCCATGCAGAATTGGCTGTTTACAATTTGGAACAGAGATTCCCCACCCAATCGACTGCCCTTGGAAGGATGGGCAGCATAAGCCTATATCCAAGGAGTCCTCTCCCTGTCCTCTCGCTCAGATGGTCTAAATCTTGCAGATTCTTCCTTAACAGAGCGTCTCTGAGCTATGGCCTTTGCCCTCCCTCCATGCAGCTAAACGTCCCCCTCCTATCACATCTCGGTTATGGCAACAGCCTTTCCTCTAGCCTGGTGGCGTGCAGGCTTCCCTGCTTGTGTCTGCTCAGAACAATGACCGTTTCCCAGCACTTGGACTGTCGTCCCTTTCTTTGCATCCCTCCCCTGGCCCCCTCATCTCAGTCACATCACCCATAAGCTTCTTGTCATCACCGCCATGGTCTGTCCCCCCCCTCCCCGTCCTATCTCGTTGGCTGTCAAGAAGATAGTGTGACGACGCGTTGGGGTTCCCCCGCCTCCTGCACCCCCGGAATGGCACGAACAGACTCCACCAGCCAGTAGACTAGAGGTGGTTTATTGCTTCTTCAGGATACAGCACAGCACAGATGTCATCAGGTTACAGGGCAGGCCTAGGATGCCTCAGCCCCCCTTGATATGGGGGGGGGTCTCGGCTTCTAACCCCCCCAGCCTGTTGCTTAGACTGCTTCCTCCATGGTCCCAGACAGAAACTAACTCACTCCCCTCCAGCCCTGGCCCCTAGCCATGGCAGCATTCACCTTCCTTTATTCCTCTCCATGGGGGTTAGCTGGTCTGACCGGTTGAGAGATCCCTTTGCATAATGACCCATCCCTGTCCTTCTGGGCTGTGGTACCGGCGGCAGCCAGTGGGGTTACCACAGACCCATAGAAACCAGCAAGTTCCCCCCCACTATGTCACAGATAGCTCTTGATTTTAGCAAGGCTTCTGACACAGTCCCACCCCCCATTCTCACCAGCAGTCGAAGGCAGTGGGGTTTGGATGACACTGCTGTAAGGTGGGTGCGCGGCTGGCTGAAAGGCCATACTCTGCCAGAGTGAGGGGGATCTCTAGAGGGTCCCACAGCAGTCAGCTCTGGGTCCAGAGCCATTCGATATGTTCATGAACGATGCGGGGAATGGAGTGGAAGGCATGCTTGTAATGTTTGCAGAGGATCGCGAATGGGGGCACGGGAAGCATTTTTGAGGACAGGCTTCGAATTCCAAACAACCGTGAAAACCTGGGGAATGGGTCTGAATTCTGCAACTTGAAATGCTCGAAAGGAAAGTGCAAAGTGCCTCCCTTTAGAAGGAGAAATCACATGCACCACTACAAAATGGGAAATTAGCTGGCGGGGTGCTAGTACTGCTGCTTACAGTGCTTCACAAACTGCCTACGAACCAGCAATGTGAGAGACAAGGGAGGTGAGGTAATGTCATTTGTCGGACCACTCTGGTGAAAGGAACACACTTTTGAACCGCACCGAGCGGCTGGGCCAGTAGATGTTAAGGAGAGCTGCTCCTGCGTGAGCAGATTCCACTTCTGAGCCCCACAGCCAGGGTTTCCTGGGGCTTCTGGCTGGAGTCCTCTGCCATCCCCCCACCGCACAGCAGTGATGCAGGGCATGCCAAGGAGTGCCCAACCCACAAGCCGAAGCACCGCTGGACATGGCAGTTCCCAGAGAGCTTTGCCCAGCCTCTTCCCAATATGCCCCTTTCTCTGCCAGGCAACGGGCCTCCCTTCCAAAGCTGCATTTTCCTCTGCCCATCGAGCCTGGATCACCTGTCAGGTAAGACCTTTGCAAGCTGTTGGAGCCATGCTCCGTCTTAACCAGGATAGCTGGTGAAGCAGAGAAGAGGTCTGGCCAGCTGCTTCCAGAGCATATCCCTGCACCCTCTGCTGCCCAGCCAACACACTGTGGCCAGGGGTGGCTTGCACTCCAGGAGAGAACTGCAGCACTGGGGTGAGTCACTCCTGCGGACTTTCATAAAGTTAGGACTGCAGCCTGCTGAGCAAGAAGATGCACCAAGCCCTGACCCCCGTTAGGCCCAACATCCTGGTTTGCCCAGCGGTTGGGAATTCATTGGTGCGTTTTCCTTTCTCTCCCTGTGACTCTTGCTGTTCATTACTTCCTAGCGCTGCCACCCATTGGGAATACTAGGGAGACAGATTACAAATATTCCCTGAGGGTGTGTGTGTGGCTGGCTAGTAGCCCCACCAGTGGTAAGGGTGTCTGGAACGTTTCCGCTGTGTACGGATCTGTGAAGTTCATGGTCTGAAGACTGGTTAA